ATACTGTAAAGCTGCATTACCTGACTTTATTTTTGTATTAATTACAAAAATTCAATCCATATCCATGCAGTGCATTGGGAAATACGTCCTGTTGAAAAAAAAGTAGCGCAGATTTGTGCTGGCGTGTCATTTTATTTTAGATCGAGTTTTGGTGCAACAAGGAAGAGAATGTGTTTTGGGTCCCGATTGTGACCAATCACAGCGGACCACCGGCCCCTACTTTCTTGAAAAAAGCCACAGGTCTCTCGTTAGCACAGACAGCTGAGGTAAACAAGCGGCGGAGGCTAACCTGAAGCTTCCCGTGTCTTCGTTCCCGGGTACTGCTTACACAGTGAAACAGCCATCCAAAAGAAAGTCTCGTTCCTCCGCACTTCCCGGTTCAATCATTCTATGGTCACGCCATCCACGTTCAAATGTGTCCATATTGTGAGACGCTAGCTCCGTAAACACGTAAGCACAGGCTGAGCGCAGGGGGGGCAAAAACTCCGTGCGGGGAGTAGAAAGAGCGAGGCCATCGCTCGCATTTGAGAATTTCTCAAAGTCAATTAGAGCAGCTTTAAAAGAATTAAAGTATGCCTCAATGCAGAGGCCTGTGCTCCACTAGTTCTTTTTTAGTTCACGTATATATATATATATATATATATATATATATATATATATATATATATATTAGATACACGCATGTGTTTGCGTCACTTCTGAGTGTTATTATGGGATGCATGGGCGGGTCATTTGGCACATGTGTTAATATACATATATATCAGTGTTGTGCGTGTTTTTTTGTGAACGTTGAACTGAACGCAACCTATTTTTAAAAAAAGAACATGAACGTGAATTAGTTCATTTTATGTGTCATGAACGGCAGACATCACTATGAACGTTGGAATCTGTTTTCTCTTTTGAAACGCAACAAGAGAAAGTTCCTCCCTCCTGTATTCTCGCACTTTTTCCGCCGAAATCTAAACATTCCTACGGTTTCCACCGTCTGTGAACGCACCCCGACTCCGTGTTGTGGTGCGGTGCTGGGCTGGTGCTTTTCACATGTGCCCGAGTCGTGATGAAAACACAGGGTGAGTTAGCGACAAAGATTACACAGTTTACATTTGACATAAAGTTTAGACACACGCACTACAGCGCATTACTGTCTGTAGTTTATGAGCAGAGATGGAGCAACTCCGTTTGGCTCCCATTGAAAACCATGTTAATCTGGTCTGTTTTGTAGTCAAAAGGCTCTCCTCCTGTGGGTGTACAGGAGATATATACATATATACATATACATTATATATATATATATATATATATATATATATATATATATATAAGTTATATTTAGCTCGTAGTGTGAAAAAAAGTATTTATTTGACTTTCACAAAAAAAGTAAAATGAACTGAACTTTGAACTAGTTCATAATTAAAATTGTGAACTTTGAACGTGAACTGTTCACTTTGAGCATGTATGAACTGAACTTGTACTAGTTCAGAAAAGTTGTGAACTGGCACAACACTGATATATATATATATATATATATATTTTTTATAAAACAACACTCTGAAATTACAAAAAACAACACACTGCAAAACTATCCAAGACATGTTCTAAAATTGTAAAAAAGTTGATTATTATGACTAAAACTATATCTATAACTATACAAAGTTTTACATGGTGTATTGCTCTAAATGTCGATTTGTCCGTTAGGAGTAATGGCTGTTGTTGTCGGCAACTGACAACAACTCGCGACTCAAAGGTTAATTGTTATTGGGAAGTACTGTAAGGCCTAGAGCTAAGAAAACTGACTTATAATTCAATACACTATTTCCCTTGAAGGTAATTTCTGTGCTGAATAAGAAGTTACATGGTGAAGTGCGATGGATAAGCTGGTACATGCCAAAAAGTATACTTCAATTTATACATGCTTACAATTCTTAAAGAAGCTATACCCGATTTTTTTTCTAAGTAGTTCATAAAAATGCTATTGTCATTGATTGACAGCGGTCTATGAGTTACGGCCGTGAAAAGTGCTGAGTAGAGTCTTAGCGGGACGCTCGTTCTCCTCCACTCACAGAACGAGGAGCGAACAGCCTGCGTCCTCTACAGCGCTGCTTAACACTAGGGCTTCGGCCTCAAAATTTGAATATAATTCTAAAATTAAAAAAATATTAATATTTGAACAAATATTAGACAGCCCTTATAATTCGAAATGTATTTAATGCAAATAAAATAGTTAGTTCCCAAAGGTTCCACCCATGGATCTATAATAATAACTGGATTGTGTGTATTACTAGCTTACAGCTGTCCCACCTATGGGCCTACAGCAGACAAAATTTACGAGGGCTACCCAGAAAAAAGTCCCATAGAACTCAATGTAAATTAAAACAGCACGACCACAGCTGAAAGAGAACCTACAACTTTCATAAAGATCGGATTTTGTGGGGATTTTAGTGTCCCTTTTTTCACTTTTTTTCTTCTTAAATCCTTTGGTTTTCTTTAAATTCACACTTTACTGCCACAAACTTTGCTCCTTGCCTTCCCGCTCTGGCTCCACTCTTCCGCTGCTCTGAATGGTCAGATCACGGCCGAGCCCCTCTGTGCGCGTGCATGAAAGCCACACACGCACATTTGGCGCTAATCCACTGCACAGAACCGGGAGGACCAGACAATGCCCAAATATAGGCGAGTTCAGCTAATCTCCCGGTCTCCGTGAAGTCCCATGCGCTACTGAGCACAAGCCATTCATTTGAATAGGGCGCCATCTTGGATCACCAGAGCTTGGTTTCACCGGGACGTGCTAGGCAGGTAAGCTAGCTAGTTAAAAAACTCTCTGGAACTACATGAAAACTGAACAAAGAATTCTGAACATCAGTGGTGAGTGACCCATTTATATACCGAAACTAAATCCATCAGATCCTCTTCAAATGTGTCCTAAAATGTTTGTTTCATGTTTGTTTGTCGCATGGTTACTTCCGGGTTTTTCGCGATCGCTTTTTGTCACATTAAAACGTTAACAAATTCTGAAAACGTCCGTGCATGTGTGTTAAGGATGTATATGTATACTGTTCTGTCCGATTAACGTTTAATGGTGTTGATTGATATGTATTTGTTTATTGAGTGTGGCTAACTCGGCTAGCTCCGCTAGCTTCTCTGCACAGACAGAAGTAGCTAGTGACAGGCGCTGAAGGCTTGTTGTACTTGCAGAGTAATGTTAGTATTTTACACACCTGAATTACAAACAGAGATTGCATTGTCAAAGGGCAGCGGTCATCATTGGTTTGAGAGTTCTGTTATCAAGAAAAAATGATCGGTAGAATTAAATTCAAGTCAATGGAGTGTTCTACTGCTGCTGTGAGGAGCTGTATGATAAACTATAATTAGATATTCTAATATATTCAAATGTTAAATGAATACATTCGGATGCAAAAATAGCGGTATTCTTTTACCTATATATTGTGTTAGCAGTGCGTTGCTTTAGTACCATTTCATCAGTGATTGTTGTACAGCTTGTACAGATTGTTGTACATCTAGCATACAGCTAGATGGCCTGTGTTATGACATTTCTGTGTTAGGGGAAATGAAAAGCCATTGAGCAAGTTGGGGGCGGTGCTAAACATTCAAACCTTGCAGAAACGGGTATAGCACCTTTAATTTGAAGATTTTTGCAACACATTCCTTGGCAATTCTGCACCACATATATGATGATATTGGAACAAGCCCCGGTGATCCAAGATGGCGCCCTATTCAAATGAATGGCTTGTGCTCAGTAGCGCATGGGACTTCATGGGCGCCGAAAGATTAGCGGAACTCGCCTATATTTGGGCATTGTCTGGTCCTCCCGGTCGAGAGCTCCCATGATGCGTTGCGCCAAATATGCGTGTGTGGCTCTCATGCACAGAGAACTACGGGCGCCCCCTGTGCCCATGGGTGGGACAGCAATAAGATAGGAATACCCTATCCAGTTATTTTTATAGATCCATGTATTGGAAGTGTTTGGAAATTGAACACAGTTTCCTAATAAAATATTAAACAATGAATTAAAAGAAAATAAGCTCCATATGGCACAAAATATAAGTCATGTACATTATAATGATAAACAAAATTCTAGAAAATGTTGTGATTCTTAAAAATTCTTTTTCAAATTTCTGTCCTGGAGCTCAGAGCAGTTCATACATGGCCAGACTGTGTAACGGCATCACCTGTGCAGAGCCTCAGCCTTGAGTAAATTATCAATATTATTATATATCATCAGAATGAAGTGTGTATTCTCCAACCTGCATATTTGTTGTTATATCTAACTACTGACACAATCTATACACTATTGATATTTTCACAGCACAAACATGTTTTGGGACATTCATCATCAGTGACAGAATAAGTGCAGAAAATTGGCTTCTTTTGATCAAAGAAAGGAACACTCGAGAAAACACTAATTTACTAATGTTTAGTTTTTCTTGGTCTAAAATTCTCAACCGAGCTCACGCCAGACAGACAAGTGAAGTCAAAATTGAAAATATCACAAGAAAGCAGCTTGCAGCACAAGGTTATATTATTCTGTCACTTACAGGATATTCCTTGGAAACCCAAAGTTCTCTAGAGGTGCCAAACAAAGTCAATAAATTGCAAGTGCAGTATTGTTGGTAATATGTTGTAACCCAGTCAGAGCTTTTTCATAATACTAATCTACAGAAGTGCCTCGTCTATAAACTCCTCCTGAAACCAAGCAGCAAACTATTTTAGAAAATTGAAAATGTATTCTTGTTTCCTATAATACATAGTTGCAATTCTGAATTCTCACATTGAATTACACGTGATTCACATGTTTACACCAGGACACAGTGACCACATAATTATACAATCTTTGTTCCTTGTTCTTGGACAATTCTACAACTGTATTTGCACATTGAAATACAGATCTATCCATATTCAGGAAATAATACAATATTCAGAGTTTCATGGTTATTCAAAGGATAGGGTGACTATAACGGACAATAAAAGGTTATCACACTTACATGGAATTTTGTTGAGTTCATTCATGAACTTGTCCTTGATCTTGGAAAAGGCCTCGTCCTTCTCACCTGTCCCGGGTCCAGCAGAGATGGTGCTGTTGGAGCCAGTGGTGGCAGAGGAGGCCGTGGTGGCAGGCGCCGCCAGAGCTTCCCTTCGACTCTCGTTCATGTTGGCAATGGGGTCAGCCAGGCAGCTGCTGGACAGAGCAGAGAGGAGAGGGTCAGTTTGTTCTGCAGCTCGGACAGATGCATGTCAAAGGCACCACTCTGGTTTTGTCAGATGACTCAACTGATGGAGCGAGAGCAGCTGCTGGCGTGTCCTGCGTAAACATCAGATGGGCTCTAGAAGGATTGGCCAAACACTCACTTACTGCTTAAACTAATAGTTGGTTTCAATTTTCTTCTACAAGCAGCCTAAAATGTATTTATCCATTATTTTATACCGTTTTTATTTGGTTGGGACAGTCCATGTTAATGAACACACCTCTCTGGATTGTGGCCTTAGGCTAATTTGCATCCATTGTCCCACACTTGCATTCACCCTGGACCAGTTGTTCTCAAACTTTTTACACCAAGTACCACCTCAGAAAATACTTGCCTCTCCAAGTACCACTACAAATGACCAACACTACACAGTAGCGTAGTAAGTCAAAGTATTCATCAAAAACAAGGCAAAGGTTTAATTCCTAAAGAAGTATTTTTAATATTGTCAGCCATTGTAACATATTACACAGGTTTAACAGTAAGACTTAAATATAAAAAAATAAAAATAAAACTGTACTTAAATAATGATTCAATTAAAATGTTCAATTCATTACGAACTGCAAAGCCTTGACTCACTGTGGATGATATTCTGGAGTGGAATGGTCTTCTTAGTCCACCAGAAGGTTTGGACAATTTTGTTTCTAAGGCTTGGTCTGCTGCCCTCTTACATCTGCCATTTACTCACACAGAGACATGTTCATTTGGTTTGGATCAAATCATATTTTGATGCTCTCTGTTCCTTTTGCACAGAACTGGGAAAAAAAGCTTTTATATTTGCTGCTCCTTCTACATGGAACGTGTTGCAAAAAGACTGGAAATGATCTGATTTTATTTCATTGAATGCTTTTAGATCCAGCTTGAGAGCACTTGAGACATCTTCAGTGAAATGTAACTGTTTTAATTATCCGTAATTTTATGGAATTGTATGTGACTGTTTTATAATCTGTGTATCAGTTTTATAATCTGTAATTGTATGTAATTTTTGTCCAGGGCTCCCTTGAAAAGAGGTTCTTAATCTAAATGGGACTTTCCAGGTTAAATTAAAAAAAGTAAAAAAAGCAAAAAGTTGTTTTCTAAAATTTTATTTCAGTGATTCTTTGGCGTACCACTAGAGGGAGCCCCGCGTACCACTAGTGGTACGCGTATCACACTTTGAGAACCACTGCCCTGGACAAATCGAACCCAGGACGTTCTTGCTGTGAAGCACAAGCGCTAACCACTGCACCACCGTGCCACCCTCCTCACTGAATTATGGTTGTGCGTTTACCGTATTTCTCGTCACAATGGGCTGCCATGTATTTACACTCACATTCAGCTTATTGTAAAATGCAGGACGCAATCTGAGTGTGTGGGTCGCATGTTGAGTGGGGCTGCAGGTCACACGTGTGTACTGAGCCTGGAGACACTGCTTTGGCTAGTCAACACCATCTCTTTAACGCCTCGTTCCACATGAAGATTTCTCACATTATCTCAGTTATGCCTGGGGACAAATATAGGGGTTCCCAATATATCATGACAATAAATGTACTAGACCTCCACATAAGAACAAACCAGAAAATCCAGTTCATGTGTTTGCTTTGACCGCAGGCTCAGAGTAGGCCAGGTGCATTGACACACGCAAAAATACATGGGAAGTTGGAACTATTGGATTGATCAGAGTACAGCATTCTGAATACTTTTTCAATAATTTGGCTCCTGAATGTTTTAAACTAAACACACTTATACATCTTTATGGTTCTTTTGGGTTCTTTTGGGTTCAGTGGAGGAGGGCAGGCAATATTCGTATTGCTGGTCCGCTTTGGGTTTTGTTTATATCCAGTGCTTGTTTGGTCCATGTATCATATCCATCCTCTTTAAATGTGTAAAAACTTGAAATGAGAAGCCATTTATAGCCATTCCAAAGTTTGCGTATCCAGCAAACTGAAACTAAAGCGCAATTACATGTGAGTTTGTTTTTCTTCAGAGCATCGTGCCATTCCCATAGGCCTTGTGACTTTCCTCCAATGGCTGTCTGGGCACAAAGACTGATCAAGACATCACCTAATATCCAGTGTCCAATCCTCCTACATGTCTGCTAAACGCCACGGGCAGTCTCCCCGTAAAGTGAAGGAAAAACACTAACACAAAGCGACGTAAGAAGCTATAAATAAGTACAGTAAGTAAGTAAATCCAGGCCTATAAAGGCGTTCTCCTCCTAAAGCACACTGCTGTTGCACACTAATTTTGGCCTTTTATTTAGTTTTCAGGCATGCTCTCTTCTCGCCTCACTGAACCACGGAGCGGAGAAAGTGGGTCTTTGCTCGTCCCTCTCTCCACTGTGCAGTCCTCGTCGTCTGCATCACTGCGACTGTTGACAAACTTTCATACAGCATCCTTTGTAACATGAGTTGATTAGTTTGCTATACGATTAAAATAAACCATATTTAACTGTACATTTATTGGATGGGTTTGTACAGAAGTGTGGTTTCATTATGTTGTGGAAGAGCCAAAATTACCTTAAACCGTTCATTACAGAAGAGTTACTGTGCATGGTGTAGCAATAAAACCTCTTTAGTGAACAAAGCATCCTGGCCCTCTACACCTCCTGCTCTATTGAATGGACTCCTACGCACTTCCACCTATGTACTCTCAGCATCCTTTCACTCTGCTTTAGAAACAAGCAAGGAGAGTGTGGGGGCCGATTTACAGAGAGCGACTCTTTACAATGACAGGGACCTTTGAACACGGGCAGTGCTCAGTGAAGTGCAAGTGGGAGGTATCGTCTATAGAATTGTATTGACCCTGACCGGCTTGTGCAGAGACAGTGGGTTAGACTGATGATACCCAAAGTGCGATTTTCCAGGGGACGGGTTTACTGCTCCTCTCCCTACTTGTTATTGTGACCTCAACACCTCCAGGGTTTGGAAGTAAACGGAGTTTTCACATTGGGATTTATTGAGGAACAATTATTTTCTAAAAGATTGAAAGCATGTTTGGTTCTAGCTGGTGAGGTATGACCCCAACACCTACTTCTATACATAAAGTTTGTTTCTGAAAAACTCAAAGTTAAACACATTTGTTTTATTTAAACTTCTCTACGTAGTGGTTACTTAGTGTTAACAAGGATCACCAAAAATGAGGTCACCAACATTGAGAGGATGTTGAATCTGAAAAAAATCTGATTTTTGATATGTGCTTTGTGAATTATGGACACAAACACCGCCACGCAGAGGAAGCAGATAAGCAGTCACTCTAGAGAAAGCTTCTCTTGTTGTCTCACTTTGAGTTTTCTCACAATTTTCCACCAGTCTGTCACAACATTTTAAACAGCACCTTTCCACTTTGGAAATAGTCTTGCGTTACACATTTAATTGAAACTAAACACAGAAAAAAACTCTAGTCTCTCTCCCTAAAACCCTCAAATCAGGTCAGAAATCTAGGAGTTATAATGGTCTCAAATTTCAAAAGCCACATAAAATCTGTAACATCAGCAGCTTATTACCACCAAAAAACATTGCCAAGATCAAAAACATAGTGTCTAAAGCAGACTTGGAGATTCTTATCCATGCTTTTGTCTCCAGTAGGTTAGACTACTGTAATGGCCTGCTCACAGGTCTGTCCAAACAGGCTGTAAAACAGCTGCAGTACATTCAAAATGCAGAAGCTCGAGTCCTGACTGGAACTAGGAAGTATGAACACATTAGTCCAGTCCTCAGGTCTCTGCACTGGCTTCCTGTGGCTCAGAGAATAGACTTTAAAGCAGCTCTGCTTGTGTACAAGTCTCTCCATGGCCTCGCACCGGGGTACATCCGCGACATACTGGTGCCATATGAACCGACTCTGAGGAGCACAGGGACTAGACTTTTGCTGATGCCAAGAGTTGAAACTAGACATGGGGAGGCTGCGTTTCAGATTCATGCAGTTAGAGTCTGGAACTGTCTTCCTGAGAATGTGAGGCAGGCGTCTACTCTGGCAGTTTTAAATCTAGGCTGAAAACAGTTCTGTTTAGCTGTGTATACAACTGAAGGATTTTATCTTTGTTTTCATCTTTAACTTTTTAACGCACTATGGCTATTTATGATTTTAATCCCATGTGTGATTTTAATGTTTTAAGGTTTTTAACTACTTGTGTGATTTTATTTTTCATGTTTTTAATATATCTTGTGCTCTTAATGTGTTTTTTTAATGTTCATGTAGACTCTAATGTTTGATTTATGCATGATGTTATATGGGTTGTGAGGTGCTTTGCGTTGCCTTGTGTAGGAAAGGCGCCCTACAAATAAACGTCGATTGATTGATTGAATTTTGTCAGTCATAAGTTAAGACATAGCGTATATGAGTGTATATGAAACTTCGCAAATATGTGGTGGTTCTGAAAAAAACATTTCACACCCCAAATGGTTATCAGAGAACTAGCGCTATTTGCTGATGCTGGGCGATAAATCAGGGCTTCGCCTTATGACTGACAGGACGGGAGCGCAAACTTCCGGACCACTTTGCAGCTACCTTTGTGTCGGCCTTACGTTTTTTCTTCAATGCACTCAATGTTGGAGCGCACTATATGTTGTTAGTATTTCAATTACACGGAGCATAATGAGAAAAAGCTGAGTCTCTCCTATACTTTGAATTTCACACACAGACAGCGAGAAGGATCTGAGAAATATATGAAGACGCCAGATTGAGACGGGCTCTATAGATGAGCATTAGAATTTTGAAGTCAACTTGAGTGCTCGAATTGGAAGCCATTGAACGTAACGTGGGAGAAAGAGCTGCATGCTTTTGAACGGACTGCAGTCGTTAAGGAATAATTTGTTACAATTATGATTACCAATAGTCCACTGAAAATGTATGCACAACATTCTTTCAGCAACTTGAATGTGTAAGAAATCCACACATTCTTTGAGGTACAAGTGAAAATAGGACAATTTGGCGACAAAATGTGTGTGTTGCTTTG